CAGGGTCACACAGGTAGTGCACCTGAGGCTGGATTTGCATTCAGGTCTTTCTGACTCCAAGCCCAAAGCTCTATCTCCACTGAGCCACCTAGCTGCCCTATGGTAAAATAGTTTTCTATTTTAAATAGTCAACTGAAATCTGTTAGGTTGAAGAGAACTCACTGTAGAGAGGCATAGAAAAAAAAAGGAATAAAAGGGAAGGATGGAGAACCCTTAGGATTTCATCTAAAATGGATAATTCTCATCCCATGTGGCAGCATATTAAGAGGAGATGAAGGATTTCTTGTTTGGGGGTACACTTGTCTGTTTCTCAGAACTGAGCCTTCCCGGGTATCCAAGAAGTATGCAAGATAGAAATACAAGATTTTGTAGTTTCTCCCACCAATTGCTTATCTGTTTGTCTTTCTTTCCACCTGTTTGTCCTTGCCAGCATTTGTCATATACAGTTTCCTGAGCCTCTGCTTTGAGTACCTAGGAGGCGAGAGTGCCATCATGGCTGAGATCCGTGGGAAGCCTATCAAGTAAGTCATTAATCAATCAGCAGCAACAAGTATTAAGCACCTACTGTGTACCAGGCACTGGGCTTGCAGAGATAAAAATGAAACAGTTCCTATTCTCAGGCAGCTTTAGCATGGACCCAGATGTCCTGGATCCTGGGAAAAGCAAGCAAATCACGAGCTGAGTCCAAACTAGGAATTTGAACCAAATCAAGCAATGTTTCCAAAAAAATATTTTACTGGTATCTTTTGTTTTTACTTTACCTTCAGTGCTGAATATTTCACTCCCTCCTCCCCCTGTCCAGTAAATTGTCTCTGGTAACAAAGAAAAAAAAAAGAAAAAAATTTTCAACAAAACCAACCAGCATATCAGTCATGTCTGATGGTATATATAATATTCCATATGACCCCTACTTCTGCAGGGAGGAGTGTTAGGCAAGAGGTTTGAAAGAACAGTGCTATCTTTCCTTTTTTGTAGTTCTATTTTTCTTAAGACTTCAAAGAATGTGAAAGCTTGAAGAGGCCTTCAATTTCATTCACTCTAACTCCTTCATTTTATAGAGAAAACAAAGGTTGGGTGTCAAAGCTGAGACTAGAACACAGTTCTCTTGATTCTCAATACAATTATTTCATCATTCTGTCACAGCACTCCCTTAGAACCAGAATCTGGCCCATTTGGGATAGTATATGTGCATTCGAGTTTTATGGGTGAGCGGAGTATGATGGGAGGACACCAGTGTTCCCTTAGCCTAATACTATGAGCGAGAGGCAGAAAGAAAGGGACTGGATTAGATGAATGTGGATGGAGACCACTGAAAGTTTTTGGGATGGAGACCAGTGAACAGTTTCTTGGGTTTGTAGATTTTTGTCTGAGTCTCCCAAGCCACCTGCCCACACTATGCCATACTTTCTATCTTTCCTGATGTGGACCTCCAGCTGCAGCCCCCATGCCCACTCCACTGGGTTTTATTTCACTCTGGTTTCTAGGTCCAACTGTTTCTATGGCACCTGCTGTCTGCAGGGGATGTTCTATTCCATTGGTTTTCTTCGGTTCTGTAAACAGGTGAGTTGTGGGGCCAACCAGGCTTGGTCTGAGGGTATGGGCTGGCCCTCCAGCATCATAGGGCTGGCTTTAGCTGACGTGCCCTCTCTTTTTTCACAGGCCACGCTCCAGTTTTGTATTGTGAAACCCATCATGGCTCTGATCACCATTATCCTGCAGGGGGTTGGCAAATACAATGATGGAGATTTTAAGTAAGAACATGGAAAGTAGAAGCAGGGCGGGAGAGGGCCAAGAGTGCCTAGGTGGTGCCCCAAATTGGGGCTCTGTGTGAGAAGAGAAGGATTGAGGTTGGGGGCCAGGAATGGAGGCACCTATCATTTTAGAATGAGAACTCTTGGGGACTGCCTACGTTAGGAGTGACATTTCATTCAATTAATTGTTGTTGTTGTTCAGTCATTTCAGTCATGTCTGAGTCTTGGTGACTCCATTTGGGATTTTCTTGGCAAAGATACTAGAGTGGTTTGCCATTTCCTTCTCCAGCCCATTTTACAGATAAGGAAACTGAGGCAAACAGAGTTACATGACTTGCCCAGGATCACATATTTAGTGTCTGAATCCACATTTGAACTGAGGTCTTCCTGACTCCAAGCCCAGTGCTCTATCCATTGTGGCACCTAGCTGCCAATTCAATTCATAGGACTACAGATTTAGAACTGGAAGAGATTATCTAATCCAAACCTCTCATTTTACACATGAGAAAACTGAGGCAGAGTGGTTAAGTGACTTACCCAAGGCCACACAGGTAGTAAGTGTCAAAGGAAGGATTTGAATTGATATTCCCTAACTCCAGAATGTATTCTTTCGACCACCCCCTGCTTCCCCAATTCAATTCAATTCGTTTCAATCCAACTAGCAGTATGTGTCCAGTACTGGGGGGATACAAAACCAAAAATTAAACAGTCCCTGCCCTAGAGGAGCATACAGAGGAGACGACATGCACAAATATTGGAAAATATCAACAGGGGAAGTCACCAGAAGCTTAGCAAGGACTTCTTGTAGAAGGTGGGAATCTTTTTTTTTTAAGGCAATTGGGGTTAAGTGATTTACCCAGGGTCACACAGCTAGTAAGTGTCAAGTGTTTGGTCTGAGATCAGATTTGAACTCAGGTCCTCCTGACTACAGGGCCAGTGCTCTATCCACTGTGTCACCTAGCTGCCCCTAGAAGGTAGGAATCTAAGGGGCAGAGGTGATGAGGGTCAGGGCACGTTCTTGGCACAAGAGACAGCCAGGATGAAGGCATGGTGGTAGATAGAATGCTGTGTACGAAGGCCAGCATATCTGGATTGCGGTGTGGTATGAAAAGGAGGGATGTGGAAATAAATCGATGAGCTTGGATGGGGCCAGGCAAGGAAGGGCTTTGAGCTGCCATAGTAAATATGAAGCAGTTTAGGAGGGAAGCATGAAAAACTGAGGAAAGGTATCAGGAAAAGCCTTTTAAGGTGAGGGGAGGAGGTGGCCACTGAGGTATGCCTCAAAAAAACATAGAGGTTCTACACGGCAGAGTTGAGGAATCAAGATAACCTGTTGAAATCAGTGGAGGCAGAGAATAGAAGGCTATGTCAAGAGAATAGCAGAGGGGCAGCTGTGTGGTGCAGTAGATAGAGCACTGGTCCTGGAGTCAGGAGGATCTGAGTTCAAATCCAGCCTCAGACACTTACTAGTTGACCCCGGGCAAGTCACTTAACCCCAACTTCCTCAAAAAAGAGAGAGAATAACAAAAAGGCCATTTTGATTTGAAAGTAGAATATTCAAGGTGATAGTAGTAACGTGAGATCAGGCTGAAGAGAATAGTTGGAGCCAAATTGTGAAGGACTTTGCTTTAAATGCCAGAGGGGATGGTATTTTATCCTAGAGGCAATAGGGAGCCACTGAAACTTCTTGAGAAGGAGGCTACACAATCACGCCTGGACTTTCCGAACACTATTCTAGAAACTCAGGGAAAATATAAAAAGAAAAAGATCTGATCTTCACCCTCAACCAATCAGTCAATAAGCATTTTCAGAATACCTACTATGTGCCAACTTCTGTGCTAAGCACTAGGGATACAAATGCAAAAAATGAGACTTGTTCCTTCCCCTTAGGGAGCTTGTGTTCTAGCCATTGACCTTAAAATATAACAAAGAAGAAAGAAAAGATATACACACAAAGGCAAGTGCACAGATCACACACAAGCATAGCAAGAACATTGGTAAACAGGTACAAATTATTGTAGTGTAAACTGAATACCTCCTTGTGGGGAGGAGGAAGAGTCAGGAGGGAATGAGGTTGGATGGTGCTACCCAGGGATGCTTCCTGGAGAAGGGAGTTCTGAAGGAGGTGAAGATCACTCATTGACAGGGTTGGGAGGGCACAGACGAAGGTGGGGATTTAGTCTCCTGTTAGTACTTCCCCCTCAAGAACTCTATATCCAAACCAAAATGGCCTGGTTGTCTATTCTCTCTGCCTCTGGGACTCTGAACCGGGTAGGAGAACTAGATCTGAGCGGTCAATCCACATTGGGAAGTAGAACTTGAAAGATGGGGATCGCTGGGGATCGTTGGGCAGGAGGAGCTGACGTAGGGGCCCTCTGTGAATGTCCTCTCTCTTTGCCGGTAGTCCCCGCAGTGGCTATCTCTACGTGACCATCGTCTATAACTTCTCGGTGAGCCTGGCCCTCTATGCCCTCTTCCTCTTCTACTTTGCCACCAGTGACCTTCTCCGGCCCTTTGAGCCTGTCCTCAAGTTTCTCACCATCAAAGCTGTCATCTTTCTCTCCTTCTGGCAAGGTAGGTAAGGATGGAGAAAGTGAGGTTGCTAACCTTTCTCCTCTGACCTCTTTACATAGGAAGGGATGGGACCCTGAAGAGAGAGTCACTGGAAAAATGCCTTCTATAGCTATATAAGCCCAGTATATAAGGCCAGGCAGTTGGGGTGGGGATGCCGGGGGAGTTGGAGGGAGATTCCTTTTAGAAGGCAATAGACTTTCTGGAGAAAGAACTGATGGAGTCTGAGTGTAGATTGAAGCATATTTTTTTTCACTTTATCTTTCTGTTTTTTTGTTTTTTTTTTAAGATAGCTAACGTGGAAATATGTTTTGCATGGTTTCATATGTATAATTGATGCTATATTTCTTGCCCTCACAATGGGTGGGGGACAGATGGGAGGAAAGAAGAGAATTCAGAACTCAAAATTTAAAAATGCTAAAAAATAATTAACTAAAAAACAATAAAGAAGGCAATGGACTGTAGTGGAAAGAGCCCTAGTTTTGAAGTCAGAGGTCTCAGCTCTGCTATTTCCTAGTTTTGTGATTTGGAACAAGTCACTTTATTTTTCTGAGCCTCATTTTCTCCATCTGTAAAATGGAGCTATAATGCTTCTACTACCTACCTCACAGGAAAAAATGTGCTATACAAAGCACTACATAAAGATCTATTATTATTTATCTTCATCAACTCTCTCCATTTATGGGTGGAAAAATAAGTCCAGAGAAAAGTGTAGTGATTTAAATGCACAAAGCAACACAGATTGATGCCATGTAGCCACATAAACAAAGATATTTCTTGTCCTTTCCAAAATATGCTCAGATTTCTGCTTTTATCTTATATAAGGAATCAAATTTCCTCTCCAAAGAGAACCCATTTGGGTATGGCTCATTGCCCTATGTATCATCTGAGTTTCAGATATGTGCACAGTACTGTGCTGGTGCAGTGAAGGTAGTAGGGCTCATGGCAAAGGGCAGGAAGTTGTTAGTACATGTTGTCCAGTTTTTAGTCGTATCTGACTCTTTGTGACCCCTTTTGAGGTTTTCTTGGCAGAGATACTTCTACAGTTCATTTTACAGATGAGGAAACTGAGGCAAACGGGCTAAAGTGATTTGCCCAGGGTCACACAGCTAGCAAGTGGCCAGACTTGAACTCAGGAAGATGAGTCTTCCTGCCTCCAGGCCCGACACTCTATGCACTGTGCCTGTGTATGTTAGGACATACAGAGGAGACAAAAGGCACAGACCTTGCCCTCAAGTAGTTTATTATGTCAAGTTCATTGGCGAGTTGAGAAGGCTTCCCAAATGCTCAGGAATGCCACTGTTCCACTGGTGCCCCGTTCCCTTATGAGAGCTGGAATCACCTCTTTCTTTTGCCCTGGTCTTCATACCTGCTAATGACATCTAAGTTCCAGATCAGGGCCTTGGGATAAATGTAAGATTATGGAGAAGAAGATCAACTCTTTGCATTTGTTCAACACACATTTATTGAATGCCTAATGTGAGCAAAGTGCTAAGCTCATTGAAGGAAGATACCAAGATAAAGGAATCCCAAACCATCCCTGCCCTGAAGGAGTTTGTAGTCTTGTAAAGATGAGCAAAAC